AATTGATCAGATATGCACCTTGTCATTTCCTTTTAAATTGTGGTTTTAAACTTCCAAAGAGGGGGTAGGCATGAAGAAAAACAAATAGGAACCTCTTCAGAGATTTATGTTTTGACAGAGGAGACAAGATACAAGTCCCGCCAAGAGACGCAGCAATTCAAAAGGATAATGGGCTAACAAGGTATTGTTGCCATCGTGGGACAGAACGAGCAACAGGCTGAGAAGTTTTTGGATTATATAGCACCTAGAATCTTTGATTTAGGGAATTCTCGTTAGTAAAATACACACTCAATTTCCAAGGGAAAACCTTTCAGGTAGCCCAAGGTTGGTTTTCTGGAGTGATGAGATGCATGATTACTGTGGTTTGTTTTTAAAAACAGACGGGGTTTATACAAGTGAGAAAGACTAGGAAAGAGCAAGATGTTAGTGCATTTTGCAGAAGCCTTTTTATCTGTGTGGACATGGCTGGATCATTATTTCTGATCCCCCAGACCCCAGAAAGGACAAAATCCCAAAGAAATGTGTTGGCGAAATTGACTGACTTTGTCATATTGCTATGGAGATTGATCCTGTGTTGCAATTTTTCAATAAGTAAAATTTTTATTATTCTTACAAGTCATCAACCTGTAAGTCAGGACGAATCTTGCCTGGAGGACACGCTGGAGAAGAGCCTATGAAGGGATGGTGAACTCACAGATGTACCTCTTGCTGCTGCGACAGGCCTCATCACTCCATTTGCCTTGAGCTGACTGGGAGAACAGGACACAGTTTTCCCGCTTGCCACCGTCAGGCTGTGCACGGTCCCAGTTGAGGAAGGAGATGGCAGCTCCATTGACATCAACAAACTTGCCTTCCGTGACCATATCATTGATGCCCAGCCAAAAGTCATTGACACCTGGCAGGCTCCTCTTACCATAGTCTCGGAGGGCATTGATTTCGTCGGAGTTCCTGGGGATAACCAGGATTCCTCCTTTGGAAATACAGTCTTCGTTAGCCTCATGGAACTGCTTCAAGCCTTCTGAAGCAAGGTAGCATTTCTTGTGAACTTTTGTGCCTCGGAGACAGACTGTGAAGACGTGAAATTTAACATATTAAGATGCATGTTGAGTGTATTATGGCTAGGGCTGGACCTGGCAAATAGCAAGAAATATTTGTGGAATGAAGTATGATAATGATGAGACAACGATTTTGTATGCGCCGGACAACATGCTAAGCAGTTTGCGTAAATTAAGCCACGTGATCTTGACAACCCCATGAAGTTGTATTTTATTACCCCTATTTTCACATGTCAGGATATTTAGGCTTAGAGAAGTTCTTACTTGTAACAACTCAGCATTTTTTTTTAAAGAGGTAATTTATACAGCTTGTGAGACTATAGCTACCCAAAGCCAGGTCTGCTGTACTTCAAGACATGGCCTTAAACGTCATGCTGTTCTGATACACACATGCTTGCTAATCTGTGTAGCTCCATTATGTGCTGGATTTCCTTGACAGTTTTGAAACTAGAGAGTATTTCATATCTATTTGAAAAAGCCTGGGGATGGTGGCTCACACCTGTAATCCCAACACTTTGGAAGGCCAAGGTGGGCCGATCCATGGGGCCAGGAGTTCGAGACCAGCTGGACCAACATGGTGAAAACCTGTTTCTACTAAAAATACAAAAATTAGCCAGGTATGGTGGTGCATGCCTGTAATCCCAGCTACTTTGGAGGCTGAGGCAGGAGAATCGCTTGAACCAGGGTTGCAGAAGTTGCAGTGAGCCGAGATTACGCCACTGTACTCCAACCCCGGGTGATAATGTGAGACTGTGTCTCAAAAACAAACAAATAAAAAACAAAAAAACCTAGGTTGGCATGTGGAGAGAGTGATTTTCTTAAGCAGATAACTGAGCCTTGGTAATGCTGTTTAGATTATTCAGGATAAACCAAACTTAAAGATAGTTTTAGGCCACCGTGTTGACAAGTCAGGCCTCAGAAACATAGTGCCTGAGTTTCGGTCTCCCCGCTGACATTTAACTAGCTGGGTACATCTTGAACAAATTAACTTCTTTGGGCCTCAGTTTCCTCATCTGTAAAATGAGGATAATAGTAATAGCATAAGTTCTTAGAGGAGTCAATGTAAGTTGTTGAAGGATTGATGGATTTTGTTTATAAAGAATTGCTAGTACCTGAATGTGGGTAAAGGATGAACAAAACTTGCCTTCTGCATAAGCATTTGATCATCTTTTAACTTTCTAATTCTGCTCCCCTGGAAACCTGATAAAGGGAGGATGTCACCCTTGTTACTAGGCGACATTGCTTACAGTAAAAATGACCCCACATTGGTAATGTGCATCTGGCCTGGGAGTTACAAATACTTGATGGAAAGCCATAACTTCAGTGTTCCCTGAAGGCTGTTACTTGCAACTAGACGGGTCTCCTGTGGGGACCCTGGACGCCCTGCTTTTGAAATTGCTACAAAGAATATTAGCTCCTTGGGGAATGATACTTGTAAACCAAGGCTGTTCCTGAACCTGCCCAGCATGACTCACTTCTCACCCCTTGGAGAAGAGCTTGCGGGCAGTGTTGCACATAGCCAGGTGTGGTGGCATGCGCCTTTTGTCTCAGCTACTTGGGAGGCTGAGGCAAGAGAATCGCTTGAACCCAGGAGGCAGAGGTTGCAGTGAGCCAAGACTGCATCTGCACTCCAGCTGTGGGGAGGAACACTTGCGCTGCTCTGTTGGGAAGCTGAGGTTCTGACCCACATCCTTCCAGCATCTGATGCTGGCTATGGCCCAAGTGAGTCCTGGATGCCTGATAGGCACTTAGTTAACATCCGATAAATGTTAATCATTTTAGTTATTTCATGCTTGCTTCATTCTATTTCATTTCCCTTTAGGGAATAAGTGTGGACCGACTTTTCAGATGCATTCCTGAACTATTTTTATTTCTATACCATCCATATATAGGAGAGTGGGGTTGTAAATGAAGCTGATTTCCTAAAACAATCATCTCCCAGTGTTTGCGTCTTCTTATTGGCCCCGTTGCTGATTTGTCAATGTTCCTTTTAAAAAGATGTCCCCCAAGGCCGGGTGCAGTGGCTCATGCCTAAAAAACCCAGCACTTTGGAAAGCCAATGGTGAGCAGATCCATGGGGTCAGGAGTTCAAGACCAGCTGATCAACATGGTGAAACCCCATTTCTACTAAAATTACAAAATTAGCCTGGTATAGTGGCACATGCCTGTAATCCCAGCTACTCGGGAGGCTGAGGCAGGAGAATCTCTTGAACCTGGGAGGCAGAGGTTGCAGTGAGCTGAGATTATGCCACTGCGCTCCAGCCTGGGTGACAGAGCGAGACTCCATCTCAAAAAAAGAACAAAGTCACCCAGAAATTGACCCAGAAATGTTCCTGTCTACTTTGGGATGAGGCAGTGACAAAGCCACTTACCTGTCTGCAGGGCTTGTATTTCCTTCAGGGCATTGACTTCTCTCCAGAGCTTTTCAATTTGAGTCTTCAGATCTCCATCCTTTTCTGGGGGAAATTTTAGGGTGGGATGGGGTAGATGAAATGAAAAGCATAGGATTAAAATAAAATGAAGCTTTGGAATGTAGGATCTAAGGTGATAGTGGTTTTGATGAAACTGAGCTCAATGTAGACAAAAATAATGCGTGAAAATAACTTGTGGCTGGGCGTGGTGTCTCACGGCTGTAATCCCACCACTTTGGGAGACCGAGGCAGGTGGATCACTTGAGGTCAGGAGCTGGCGACCAGCCTGGCCAACATAGCAAAACTCCATCTCTACCGAAAATACAAAAATTAGCTGGGCATGCTGTTGAGTGCCTGTAACTTCGGCTATTTGGGAGGCTGAGGCATGAGAATTGCTTGACCTTGGGGAGCAGAGGTTGCAGAGAGCTGAGATCATGCCACTGTACTCCAGCGTGAGTAAAGGGAGTGAGACTTTGTCTCAACCAAAAAAAAAAAAAAATGAAAGAAGGAAAGGAGGAAAAATTGGACAAGAAGATTACTAAGAGCTTGAGGGCAATCGTAATTCTAGAAGGCCCTTCTATGAGATGGGAGGGCTCCTCTCCAGTTCCATCCTGTAACTCTAGGCTTTTGATCTTTCAGGGTCACCTGAGAGTGAGCTCTGTCCCTTTTTTCCTCTGTGTTCCTTCTGCTGGGATCGCTCTTGCTCCAGCTCTTCCCTGTCTTCTTACCAAGCTTAACTCTCTCCTCTTCTGCTTAGACTTTCCTTGTTATCCCGTAATTTAGTATCCCTTCTGCTAATCTATCTTTGAAACCTATTATTCATTCTCTAGTCTCTACTCACATTTTATTCCATTTTTTACGGAATATTCTCTATATTTTCTGTTCTCTATTTTATTTCATCTGACTTGCTGTTCATGGTGCTTCTGATGCTTAACATGATGCTTGGCACATAATAGGTACTCATAGTATTGTCTAGGGAATGCGCACTTTATGGTATACAAGATGGTTATTTTCACATGGTCTTCAAACATAGCTATGAGGGGACAACAACTAGATTCCCATTGACAAATGAGGAATTAGAGAAGTAACTTGATAGATATTTGGCAGAATTCATACTCAAACGTATTTGGGTCCCCAAGTCCCCTGTTGGCAGTGTTCCTACTCAACCCATGCCTCAGGTGTGGTGGCTTCTAGCAGGGTGAAGTGCTAAAGGCTCATGTAGAAATATATCTGTATTGGGTATTAGCAACTTGTTCAGTCTTGCATGTTCCTGGATGAGGCTAAAGGATCTTCATGGCTGTCCTTGACCAATCTTGGCTATAAGAAAGTGGCAGAAAACAAAAGACCTTGGCTAAATCAAAATTTCAGGCCTAATAAGGATTCTCTTAGAGACTGGCAGCTCATGAACTGTCCAAAGACATTAATTAAAAATCATAAATAATGAAGTATTAAAAGCCACCATATACTGTTTGTCAGAGATCAGTTCTTTCCGTAGTGTTTTGAGAGACATGCTACCCTTGTCTCCATTCTACAGAAGAAACAGAGGCCCAGAAAGCTGACTGCACCTGCCGAAGGTCACCCAGAATCAGGATTTGAATTTGCCCAGCTCCAGGCCCATTCTCTGTTCATCCCTCCAATCTGCTTCTCACAGTGAGTGCCTCTACCTTCTCCGACCCTAGCACATGTAGACAGAGAACATACTTAAAGCTTGGTAGAACCGTCCGCAGTTGCTGCTTTGTGGGGTTGTCGTAGATTGAATCTGTGTTTGGTATTGGATTTTTCAGGGCAGTCTCAAATTCACATGTGCTAATTAACTGTCTTCTGAAACATGTGCTTCATAAGCCAGATGTTGCCTCGTTTGGGTTAGGAAACTGTCTTCTGGAATATCTAGGGGTGGTCCCCGATTCTTGTGTAGTTAATGCTGCATGTCAATTTTCAAAACACCCCATAGCTCAGCAGCTCAGCTCAGATATACAATAACTCAAGGATTTTATTGATGTGATCATTTAATCCAGAGAAAAAGAAAAGGGTACATTTAGACTTGCAAATTCATCAGCTACTGGGGGGCTGGGCTTGCAAACGCTACTGAAGTCTTGCTTCCAAAATATAAGCAGTCACCTCCACACATGTCATCCCCCATCCCTCTCAGCTTCCTGCTCCATTCTCCTTAAATAAGTGGTCTCCACTGGGAGATGGTGAACATTGTAATTAACATGGAGACGCATGAATGAATATTAGGCTCCTGGGAGATGGTTGTGAAATTCATTATCCGGGGACTGGGCTGTAGCTTCCATCCTTTGTAGCTGATGTAGATGTCTTTCGTGTACATCAGAGGGAATATGTGGAACAACTGCTGTGCTGTAAAAGTTTCATTATATTCAGGAATGCAACACATACATTGGTGAGACCTAGGAAGTAACTACCAGGGAGATCTTGTGTTTGAAGCTAAATTTTTCGATGGCTATTCTGAGTCCCCCAATAGGCTCCCTTTCGTTTTATTGTTGCTCTCCAGAAGTAGACACAGTGTAGAAACACAAAAAGAATTCCCAAAAGAAAGGGCCAATGAAACCATTATATGCTGTTGGGTTTTCAAGGTGTATGAGTATGGGTACTCCCATATACTGAAGACGGGAAGATGGAAAGATGGGAAGATGGGTTGGTGTTACATTTGGAGAGACAGTTAGAAAGTATGATTAAAGTGTAATTTTAGTTTGGGAAATGTATCATAACAGCCTAACATGAGGAGCAATATATGTGTGCAAAGCAGTTACTTGGGGCTATTGAATCAAAAAGAGAGGTATTGGGGAGCTCAGCAAGAAGTCATGGCCCACCCAAACAATGGAATATTACACAGCTGTTAAAATGAATAAAGCATTGCTTACACTGGTAACTACCCAAGATTTAGTTGGTGAAATAAATTCATTTACCTGCCAACCTGCCAAACATTTTGCATAGGCAATTCTTTGTTAAAAATATCTTTTAACTGTGCATTTTTAACACTCTGGGAATAGGCCAGCTGTGGTGGCTCACATCTGTAATCTCAGTACTTTGGGAGGCCGAGGCAGGCAGCTCACTTGAGGACAGGAGTTTGAGACCAGCCTGCCCAAGCCTGCCCAACATGGTGAAACCCCATCACTACTAAAGTGTGTACACACACACACACACACAGAGAGAGAGAGAGAGAGAGAGAGAGAGAGAGAAATTAAATTAGCTGGGCATGGTGACAAGTACCAGTAATCCCAGCTACTTAGGAGGCTGAGGCACTAGAATCATTTGAACCTGGGAGGTAGAGGTTGCAGTGGGCTGAGATCACACCACTGCACTCCAGCCTTGGTGACAGAGTGAGACTGTCTCAAAACAAACAACCCCACAAAAAACAAAATGCGAAACTTCTGGGAATAGTATTATCCAATAGTTAATACTGGATAATTTTGTGATGAGGATTGGGAGAGAGAAGATGGCTTTCACTTTTGATCTCATAAACATTGGTATTACACTTCAGGTACTTAAAGTATTTCATAAGTATGTGGATGGGTGGGGATATCATTGCTTGACAGGTTCAGGTTTATTTCTTCACCTACTTTCTTGGTGAAGTAGAATCTACTTTCTTGGACCTAATGGTAAAAAGGAGCAAAAACTGTTATGAAGGAAGGACACTGAAGAGGCGTGTACACAGTCCGTTTTTTTTTTTAAATAAGTGCATATGCACATGTGGTTATGAGGAAAGGGATTGGGGAAGAAGGGGGGAAAGAAATGGGGAGAAAAGATGGGGAGAGAGAAGAGAGTGAGAGGAGAAGGGAGGGAGGCCTGTGGATAACCTGGATGTGACCTAAGCTGTGATTACTTCGGGAGCACCCACACGGCACCCACATGCAGACGTGATCACATTCATACCCTCTTTGCACATTGCTACTGGGTGAGCAGCACTCTCACCAGGAGTGCCACTCCATTCAGTGGTGAAGGAATGCCACAGAAACGTGCCCGTCACTCAGCCTCTTCTCTCTCCCACCTTCTTTGATGCTATCTTCAGCAATATGTTTACACATCTACGTATGAAAAATATTTTAAACTTTAACTAAAAGAAGTATTACATTTTGAAAGGGAAAACGATTCCACTTAACCTTGCATCAGACCTAAATTTTGTAAACGCCCCTGAAAAGGAATACTTCATAATCATGAAAGCACAAGATCACTATTTACCCACAGCCATCTGTGTCATGTCAGACTCTAACCTCGTTGAAATTTGTGCGTGCATGTGTGTGTGTGTGTGTTTGTGGGGTGGGACGGTTACTAATGAAGTGAAAATGATAAGGAGATAGTGTCATAATAGCTGGAAATATCCTCATATGAAAACGATGCAGAGGATGAGATGAAACACGACCCTGTGTCTGGCTGTTTTCTTTTGCTTTGGATTCAGCATATTGCAACTACATTGCTGTCATCTTTGTTGTTAAATTGTTTAACCTGTTAACCCAATTCGAACCACTCAAAATTTGAGGTTGCCTGGAGATTGATCAACTTTTGCATCACAGTGCCTTCAAATACTATATGACTTTGAATCTCCCCAACTTAAAGTCAATATGCAATCTCTCTATGGCATGAAAGAGTTAAAATATATGGTATAGACTGTCCGTATACTGCTGAGGATATGGAAATACAAGCTAATGAAAACTAATGAAAAAAGAAGTCACAATTACCAAAAGCTCTATCTACCGCTACAGATTGAATAAGATTATAGTTATGTTAAAAATATAACTGAATCCAGTTACTCCATAGCTACTAGTGAAACTGTCCTCTGTTAATGCATTCTTCCTGCCCCCTATTAATAACACCAGATATTCAGAATCCAGCTGAGCTTTCTCTGAAGCACTTAATATTTAAGCCCACCTAACAAAAAATATGTAATACAGAACTTTTTATTGCCAATTTTTTCCCTGTTTATAAATTTTTTAAAAGCCCAGCAGCATGGTTTCTTTAAGATCAAACTATCCCAGAGAATTAAACGGTCACTTAATCTGGAAATGCCATATAGGCATGAAGGCTTGGTGCCGTCACCAAAGACAGTCTCTTGGAGGAGTGTGGAAATTGACATTGTCCCGCTCCCTTTACTGTGGAAGGCTAGAATTGGGCTTGACTGAGAAGCCCCCTTACCTTTCACTCTGCGTTTGCTGTGTTTCCTGGCTTTTAATCTGGACGTGTGGCTGGTGGTCTGGTCCAGGAGTAAGGTGATCACCAAGATGCAAATTACAAGTCCATTCTTTGCCATGGCTCTGGGGCAAGTCTGCCGAGCCACGTTCCCAGCCCCCCTGAAGCAGCTCTGCAGAGGTAGACTACACAGCTACATCTTGCTCTGGAATGCCTAGGGCTGGCTTATAAAAGTGAGCTTTGGAGGTTGGCTGGAATCCTGCTGACGAAATGTTTGGATGCCTCTGCTGGCCACAGCATAAGGTGGCCCCTTGTTCTCATGCCTCATTTTAGGCTTATTTATTTCTGCTGCATTTCCTAGTGATTTGCCTTTTTGGAGTGTGTCAATGTTAACTTCAGGTTTTGCCTACTTGCTTTCTGTTTTAAAGTCTGAGAAGCTTGGGGTCTTTGTGAAAACCTAATATTTAACTCTTTGATTTGGAGCTCTGAATTTTACTAAATGTTCTGGAAAATAGATTCAATTTAGTTTTCAGGGCAGGAAAAGGAAAGTGACCACATGCGTGTGTGTGTGTGTGTGTGTGTGTGTGTGTGTGATGCTATAGCACCATTCATTTAAGCCAGTGTGTCCACTCACACTTGTGTGTCTGCACAGCTCAAGTGGAGCTTGGAAATGGTTTGCTCAATGGGATTTACGGAGACTGTGGAAATAGATACTCGATGATAAAATACGAGGTTGCAAAGACCTTTTGCCATTTCTAAATCATTTCTAAGTCTCTTCCCACACCCCCACTGTGCTTTTCCTCATGTGTTTTCTCTGTTATTCCACTCTATCCCTTCCCAAAATCAATCTCTTGGTGTGAGCTATTTTGTATGTGGCCTACTCCATCTTGTCCTTTGGGTCTGAACTCACATTGCCACCTCCACAGAGATGCCTTCTCTGGGTGCCTTACCTAGGAGGGTCCTGCTCTGTGGTTCTCCATCAAAGTACCCTGCTTCCTTGATATCCTTCATCACAATTCAGCTCTCATTTAAACTGGGGTCACACTAAGAAATCATCTCTCTCAGTGCTGGTGAAGCCCTGGTTGTCTTGTGGGTTCTTGGCTGCAAGGCCAGGCAGGGACGGAAGTGGTCCTTTAACTTGTCTTCCTCCTGCAGGAATTCCAACTCCAGCTTATTCTTCAGGGAAAAACCAGAGAAAATTAAATAAACTAAATGGCTGACCAGATTGGCTATGAGAAGAGAAAATGGGATGAGGGTATGTGGATGGTGACGGATCTGCGAATATTCTCAAGTGCAAGTTTTTGTTTCTGTCACAAATGCTGACAGACATGGCCTTCCCATTTAGGTGAGCCTGCTCCCCCCAAATCTTAACAGGAAAAGCACCTGGGATGGCAGTGACCTGAAAAAAAAAATCACATAAAAAAAAATCACACACATCAAAGATAACAGGGCGGAATGGCCCCTGCCCCACCTTGTCCTTGAGGAAGGCAGGCCTCACTGTTTTATTGGAGGCTGAACAATTCCGTTTTTGTAGAGCAGGATGATGTCACCATCTTGTGTCCTGGGCTGGACTTGGGCTTCTGTAAGGACTATTTAAGAAAAAACACCACATTTATAGCTGGGGATAGACACTATAAAAATACTGCCTTTAGACAAAAAGCATTTTGATGAGAATTTTTAAACTGTCACCAGGGTTTTATTTTCTTTAATAAATGGCTGTTTGCAACACATTCCCTGACCACCCTGTGCCATTGGTGTGTTTATTCCACTGGTTGCTATTTTAAATTCACCCTAAGCTGTTTTCCAGAGTCTCAAGTTCTAATAAACAAATCTATCTGGCCTCATGGTTATTTCTCCATGAATACCCAAGGCCAAACACGTTTAAAGGCTGAGTTCAGAGATTCCAGAGCAGCATTTAAAGGAAGCGATAGGACTGGACTAGATTCCTCAAGGCTGAACTGCTTATAGGAGAGATAGGTTTCAGGGTATGTGCAAAGCTGCCTTTGGCTTTCCCCTTCAGTGTCTACTGTGGTTATTACTCGTAGCCGTGGCTGCCAAAAGTGTTAAAGAATTTACAGAAAGGGATGGTGATGGGTTTCGGAAGGTTCCAACGGAGCAGTGTTGCATACAGACCAAGAGCAAGAGCTCAGAGTTTGGGACTGAGGTCTCAGATGTGTCATTGAGTGGCTGTGCGACAGGGTTGGACTTCCTCGTGTCTCTGAACCTTGACGTTCTGATCCCTTTTGCAGCTAGCTGAGGAAACCAGAGCATGTGTCTACAACACAGCCACATTTGGTCCCAGTAGGTGACGAATCAAAGGGCGTTTGGGTTTCCTTCAGTTCCATCCTACAGGTAAACAAGGCCTCCTACTCTCATAAGGTCCTCAGACTTGCCGCTGCCCTGACCCCAACCTCACAGATTCAGTTCCATGTGCACCTGTGATAAACCCATTGCTGTTGGAGAAATTCTAAAACATGCAATTATTTTACATCACCCCCCACCCTTGGCCAAAGATCTGGCCTTAGACAGCACCTTGTCTTCATCTCTTATTTTCTAGACCAGTGCTGTCCAGTAAAAGTGCTGGGTGACCACATGTGGCCAGCGGCTGCCGTACTTGTTAGCATAGTTTTGGTGCCCAGCAGATGGACTAATAT